ATAATATGTATTTTACTATTTCTTCATATATTCATGATTATATTGTATGTTATTATTATGAACTAAATGAATACATGTATATTATTTTCTCATCGTACTTTGAGTTTAGATGTAGGATAATAATGACATGTTGGTATTTTTTATCTCATTATATGTAGTTTAAATGATTTCAGTTCAGAGAATAGTATCATGAGTATAAGACTCAACAGTTATAATATTCCTCAATTTTTGTTATTATTTTGTTTATTTTTGTCTTTTAATTATTCTCTTATACTATGAGTGGGAAGATATTTATTGTGTTTGTATGACTCCTTCGTATTGCACATGATTTTGGGATAGTGATTATAACTGTACATTAATATTTTGAGACGGGATCATGAGCTTGCCATGGCTATGAATTTTTCAACTCACCAAGGCTACAAACTTGCTAGGAACACTAGCTCCTCAAAATTATGAAATCTCTCGACCCCAAAAAAATAGGTGTATATGCCCAAACACAACTTAACCATGCTAATCAAACCATTTAGCGAACCCATCAGGACAAGATTGGTAGCTCCCACCACACATGAAGATGACATTATTCAAGCCAAAACTCCTAATTGAGGGCATGTAATAGATAATTATAATCTACACCAAAGGATAAAAGAGTTTTTCCTTATAATATTTGCTAGATTCCTCCTATAATTAAATAACATAAAGTTATTAAAAATTTACTATATTATTTTATGCAACACTAAACCCGAGTCCTAAGCCTAAAAAATAAAGGGACCGATGGGAGTATATGATCATCAATTCATTTGTATTCAAATCATGCATCTTTTGGCAACCTAAAGCATATTTTTATCTCCCACACAATTTCTTTCTAATCTCGTACTCTATCCGCTTCATAAGGGCTTACCACTAAATTTTGAGTGTTATTCATGTATAAAATTAGATTCAACTTTCTTTAAGGTGCATCAACAACTACGACAACTGCAAGGTTGATTATGAGTGGAGCACCATCGTGATAAAAGAAGATGGAAGAGAATGCCACCCAACTCGCTTGTGCGCGCCCAACCATCACACAATTAAGGGTCCTAATGGTCGAGCTCATAAATGGTATTTAAGAGGCCAATGCTCCTAAAGGCCAAAGCATACCATTAATTATGTGTATGTTATTGCATATATGTATAGATTTGAATATGGATGATGCTTAATACTAGCCTCCCTTTAGACCCCTCATTTTTTAAGCTTAGGCAAGATGCATGGTGTAGTAAGAAAATATATGATAAATTTTAATAACTTCTTGTTATTGATTTATAAGGAAATATGCTCTTATTCTCTTGAGTAGATTATAATTGATTGCATGCCATTAATTAGTTGGAATTCTGATCTGAGTAATATCATTGCCCAGTCTAGAGGAATTGCTAGGTTTGTTTAGAGGGTTTTGCTGGTTGATCTGATTAGCATGAGGGGCTGAATTTGGGCTAGTAGGTTTACTTTCGTTGGGGTTGTATAAGCTCTATCAAACTCAACATCTTAAATATTCACATTGAATTTGTAGCCTTAGTGAGTTGGTGTGTTTGTAGTCTTGGAGATTATTAAGTTGATAGTCCTGGAGAATTTATGGTCCCATCCTTCTCATCCTGGCAAGATGAAATGAATCAAGCTAACTTTATTTTAACCATGCCCAAAGAAAATATAGAGGTGATGTATTATATACATCAACATCATTCAAAAAATTATTTTGTTTATAAAATATATCACAAAACTTCACATAAAAATATAAAAAAAATGGACAATAATCATCAATTATAAGCAGAATTATGATTAATGAAAGGCGTAGTGTCCATAAAATCATTCACATAAGCCTTTATAATCAAAAAAGCATTTTTTTCTTTCTTTATCTCCTCATTCTCTCTATCCATACCTCAATAAGCTCTCTTTTGTATAATCCGTGTAATAAGCGATCATTATCATCCTATAAAAAAGAAACATAACTTAATATTCTTTTTAATAAAATTTTAAACACATTTTGTTTAATCACTAACTCCACTATGTAATTAAAGGGTAATTATAGGGCAATTCTATTATAATTTGTCATCCATATACATGGGTACATTAGAGCTTTACAAGTTATTTATGAGATTAAGAAAGAAATTTTAATAAAATTTTTTGAATGAAGTGCTAGAACAAAGTTTAGGTTATCAGATGTGAGCTTCCATAGGGTGGTCTCTAATGCATCTGTTGATGCATAAATTATATCAATTGATTCATGCTAGCTTTTAATATCTTCATATGCTCCTCTCACTACTCTACCCATGAGACTTAGGATTGCAAATGAATCAACGTGCTTGACATGATATTCATGGCTCATATCCATTATAGCATGATCATTTACATTTAATTAACTAATTAAGCAAGCCAGAACAATTCTATAAATACTTGATTGATAAATGAACAAGCTTGAATAGATTGGTGTTTCATTCATCTATATAATGTCATTTAAAGCTCATTAAGAAGATTGATTAAGGCTCACTAATGATATTCTCATTTTAAGGCACGATTATAAATTAATTTCAAATATATGTTATGTTCTATACTAGATTGCCTTTTTATGAATACAAATCGTTTATTTATGTTGGTTAAAATACTTGTTTATTTAGTAGTTCTTTCATTTAAGATATCACATTTTTAGCTAAATAGGCCACTTATTAATAGGATTTATAAAACTTGTTTATATAACTAACAAGTTACTTGGTAGTGTTGCTCGTAAATAGTCTTGATAAGAATCATTTGATTAGCTAATGAATGAAGCTCAAACCAAGCACAAACAACTATAATTTTAAGCAAAATGAGCTTGAACACTAGTATCAATAATCAAATAAAGCATCAGTAAGACTTTGGCAAATGAGCTTAAGCTCAAGCAAGATCTTGCTTGGCTCATCTTGGTTGATTCATTTATATCCCTAATGCCACTATTATTGTTGATTCATGGATTAGTGGTGCTTTAAGGGAAATATTGAGAAGTAACTTTGAAATATTTTATATAATATTGCATCCACCCTCTCGTTTGACTCTATATTCTCATTTTCTAATGTCTAGTCATCTTTAATGAGCATTTCACTAGAACATATTTAAATTTTTAAAATAAATTAAGATATTTTATCAATAAATGTATATAAACCTAGGCTAGTGTTACCCATTATTACCATACATCATCAATGATTAGGAATTATTTTTATACATTCTATTTTCACAATGTCAACTAATCTTTGACTTACCGAATGAACCTATAATAAAGATTAATAGTGATAAGTCATGTTTTATATTTATAAAAATTTAATAAATTAAACAATTTAGTATTGTCTCTTTCTGTCTTTGAACCAAGCACACAATACTATAAAAAGTTAAATTTTTATTGATAAATTTTCTTTGTGATGGTTTTTGTGCGCATATCATATAAAGGAGTCATTTCTAATAGTCTTGATAGTTCTTTGAAAGTTTAAAAATACTACTCTGAATGTTCTTCTAAAATTATAATTGGAAAAAAATAAGTAAGGAAGGTTTTGGACATGCAAATGTTACCCTGCTTTAATAATGCTCATGTTTAAAGTCATAATTACCCATTGTTGCATTCCAATTGTATAATTCATGGTATGATATTAGAGAATTTCTTATCTCTGAAATATTACTCGTGCACTCTCTAAAATGATATAAGAGCACTATATGTTATGTTTTTATCCAATCTATCTTGTGTGGATGTAGGAGAGAGTCTAGCCCCACTTGCTGATTGTTGGTATGGGATATTACAATATTTTGCTTTGCTCTGTTTTATCATCACTTGTTGTATGCAGGTGTGGGAAGTAAAAAAAAAAGAAGTTATAAATGCATGGAACTTGAGTTATAAGCAGGAATCAGAACATGTACATCGTATTCATGCATTTCATATTCTAGAAATTTATGAATTAAGTACGAATGGCATGAATTAATTATGAATGGCATTTTAAACATACCATGATAACTCTGAAACTTTTGTATATATTATGATAAATCAAGAAGGTTAAGTGCAATACTTTAGCAGCAAGTATATTTTGATCTCTGACACCACTATGAAGTTTATCTGTGACAGCATAAGTAATATCTCTGAAACCATGTATAATTGGATAACTACAAGAAGCTCACTTTTTGTTAGCATTTAAGATTTATTGATTCATTAAATATTTAAATAACTTATTTTTAATATTTTAATGGATGTTGATATCAATAATAGGAGTGTAAAAGAAGTCTAGTAAGCTCGTTGTGCTCACCCTGTGAATTTTTTTATTTTGCAAGAAAAGGAAAATGCCTAGTTGAATAGAGTTAATAAGGGTGAGAGTTATGCGATTCAAACTTCTGAGGTATTATTTTTGTAATCCAATGTTATTTCTTTTGATGTATAGATTTCATGTAATTTTGATTATTATGTATAAATTTTGAGAAATAAAATCAAATGATGTTTAGACTGTTATTATTATTTTGATCTTATAATTAGCTCTGATTTATTATGCTTGATGGTTGAGGAAAAAATTAGTCTTAAAGATTTAGTCTTCGTTTGGGACGGCTTTTTTATTGTTTCTTAAAACAATTTTCTAGTTTAAAAATTAAAATTTTTATACTAAAATGTTGTTTTAAGAAGCAGTAAAAAGCCGTCCCAAACGAAGCCTTAATCATTCCCTTTGATCTTGGGGAGTGACATATATTGGTCCCTTAACTTCTTATGAATGACCAAAATAGTCTCTAACTATATAAAAACATCAATTTGGTTTATTGATTCTTTAAATAGAAATTGATTTTTCTATTAAATCATTTAGTTCCATATTTAAAAAGTCAAAAAATTAAAATGATGCTTTTAAATAGTCAGAGACCATTTCAGTTTTTTGTAAGGAGTCAAAGAATCATTTTGGTCTTTATCTAAGTAGAAATATGAAGGTAACACAAATTGGACAAGAAAATAAATGGTATTGGAAGTTCTTAAGCTTAAAGAACTTGGCTTCTTGTTCTAAAATGGCCAATTTGACATATATAGCCTTCAAAGAAATTTCTTGATAAATGCAACTATAAATGAAGAGTTTTGGCACAATTATGCAAGAATCATATTCCTAGATTTACCCTTAATATAGCCTTAACTTTTTATATATTTCATACATCTATGATCTAATTTTAATATACTCATAAATATAAATTATTGCCCAAAATTCTAACTCAAAATTCATAGAATTTGCAACTTATAATTTAATTTTAATGTCCAGTACATGTATAGTACCTATATGTTTGACTTTTTTTCTTCTTTCACAACTTTAAAATTCACTGAAAAATTATTTCAAGGAAGAAAATCGAGCTGTATGGTGAGAAAATCTGCACAGTTAGATGGAATAATCAGTAAGTTTCAATTGCTAATTGAACCTATCAATAAGAAGAAAACATTAAGATGTTCAAAACGTTACTGCAAAAATTACCAAGATCAGATCTTCTAGCTAGAAATCGATCAATGAAGAAACCAGAGAACAGAAGCCATCAGTCTGATTGAGCTTTGCAAGGAAGGTTTACCTTATTTTGGTAAGAAAATCTTCCATCCTAAGCAGGAAAGCTTTCTTGTGCCTGTGTGGTTGAATAGCAGGGCAATTCTCCTTTGGCAGAAAGAAGGAAAAAAAACAAATAGCTTAATACAAATGAAGCCATCGTTGTGGCTGTTCTCTCTGCCAAAGGAGAGTTGCCTGTTATTCTGAAACTTCACAACTTGTTATTATTTATTTGATCCCATTGTCGAATTTCTGCATTTGCTGACTATTTATATGGCTGAAAAGCAACAAAGTTAGTATGGATATGCTACAGGATATGCTTTGGACTATTCTTGGATCCATCGTAAGGGCCTCATTCCCAAATCATTCCTCCCAAAAAGCAAATTACCTATTCCATCTTCAACTGAAACTTTATTCTTGTTGCTTTCATGCTTGTTAGTGTTATAACTTGAACCGGATAAAACCGTATATGTATGTATCTATTGTATATGTATGTTTCTCTTTGTAAATACAAAACATGTCTTCCTATCCATTCTTCACGTCCCGTATATATTGCCAGGGTGTACCGCCTTCAGGACCCGTATCTTTCATTAATAAATGATTATTTGACGCCTTAAATTGTATGCATCAAAGTAAAATGCAGTAAATTATATATGCAATATTTTGATGCCTGAATTCCTATTTATATTTCGGATCTCGGCTTAAGCGGTGCACTCCTTAGTTTTTAAAATATTGATTTATAGATTCTAGACTTGGAGAGCAGGGCTAGTGGACCTAACCTTAATGTGGACTTAAGGGTCTGTTTCGGACAACTTTTTTTATTGCTTTTTTTAGATCGCAACCACAGTACTGTTTGGCTACTGTTTCAAGAAATTTCAATGCTTGGAAGTTGCTTTTCATAGCAACTTTTTTAAAAAATTACTTTCTCAATAACATATTTACAATCACCTTCACAAAAAGTTACAGTTGTCCCAAATAGATCCTAAACCTCTAGCTTACATTGTGCCCCATCTTGTCTTGAATATGGGATAAGCAGTTTCCATCCTTTCATTTATAAAAGATTTTTGCTTCAAATTTTTAGTTCTTTAAAGTGGGATAATACAGTGTAGCAAAAATTACATGAACATTCAGCTTTTTAATTTCTAATATTTAGTTCTTTTAAAAGGTTGTGAAGTTATTTTCTAATAAATTTCTACTACATATAGGATGTTTGGTTTGCTTTATTTAAAAATTCAATGTATTTACTCTTCCTTAGAATTGTAAATAAACAAACTATGAAGTGAAATAATTTAATTTACCATATGAACTTCAAAGCAAACAGAAAGAAGTAATTTGTATGAAAATATAATTACATACATGCAGATAATAGCGTGTACATCATACAACTGCACAATCCATAGGTCAAAAACACCCCAACTGGCCATCAATGGAGCAAAGGAATCATATTTTCAATCACTGATTGCAATAACTTTTTTTTTTGGTGAAGAATGCTTTGCAAAGAACATTCTATGGATCTTCCCTATTGATGCTCTTTTTCAACCTGCATTTGATAGATTTGCAAATCTTCTAAGCTTTCTATTACATGATGGCTGAAGTTGAGATTCAGAGAGTGATGGAAGCATATGCTTATAAGTGGTGATTTGGTATTTTTTAAGAGTAGATTCCATGACTTCTATCCCTTCAAATTCATGAAGTTCCTTCACCCCCAAAACTCACCATACACCAAAATTTTTCTAAGTTATTAACACATTATATAAGGTAACTTCAAACAATCAACAAGTCATGAAGTACTTTTGGCGCAAAGATCAAGAACATAGTGTTGCAGTGCTCGCTCAAAGCACTATAGACCATAGAAACTAGAGCCTTTCATACAGAGGGTTAGTTTCGCAATGCTCACGGCCAGATTTTCATGCAAGAAAGATTTTCTAATCAATTTCAAATCAGATTATTAACAATTCATTAATCAATTAAAATTTGGGCTATTACACTGATGAGCAAACCGAATCGATAAACAATAGCTTAGCCAATTATAGGAAAAAATATTTGTTGATGGGATCAAATCCAAGCACAATTAAAGTTTGTAAATAATTACTCCATTAAATAAACCCCATTACCCCCATCAAGGTCACTTCCTATTTCCTCACCCATCTGATAGAAAATCTGAAAAGACATGTTAGAGAAGAAGATGAACAGTGAAATAGTATGAAAAGGCCTGCAATCAATATGGTTCATGCGGTATAAATAAACCGGAGGAGAGAATATTCTCAGTGTGACAGAGGACCGTTAGAGGGCAGAGAAAGTGCTAACATAAACAGCGCCTTTACACATGTGACCAGTAAGTCTAATGATGATAGCTTTACATCCCCCTTCAAACTAAGGATCAAGCGAGCTGATGCTTAGTTTGTTCCTCAAGGTGATAAACCGAGTTACGGATAATGGCTTCGTGAGTATGTCAGCCACCTGAGCTTCAGAGTCAATATGGGCCACTATCACGGTTTGTTGTTTGATGTGATCACTTATGAAATGGTGATCTATTTCAATGTGTTTCGTCCTCGCATGAAACACGGGATTGTGAGCAAGAGCCAAGGCAGAGAGATTATCACAAAAAATGGTGGTAGGTGTGGTAAGATGTATATGAAAATCCAACAGGAGGCGTCGAAGCCATATGACGTCGGAGAGAGCAGAGGCAAGAGATCTGTATTCAGCCTCGGTGGAGGATTTCGCTACCGTTGTTTGTTTCTTGACACACCATGAAATGAGATTGTTCCCAAGGAAGGTGCATAACCCAGTAACGGACTTCCAGTCGGTGGTGTCCGAGGCCCAATCGGCGTCACAGTATGAAGTGAGATCGAGCGAGCCTTTTGAAATGGGAAGACCAAGGTGCTGTGTGCCTTTAAGGTAGAGAAGTAGTCGTTTTAGCCGCATATAATCATGGTTGGTCGGGTTGTGCATAGTTTGACAAATTGTGTTGGCAGCAAAGGATATATCAGGTCGTGTAACAGTGAGATAACGCAAAGAGCCCGCCAATTGTCTGTAATGAGTTGGATTTTCAAACGGGGTGATGTTCGGAGCAGACTTGGAGCCTGAGGGAGAGATCGGTGTGCTTGCCGGTTTACAGTCCTGAAGTCCTGAGGATAAGAGGATATCCCTGACATAATGAGCCTGATGCAAAAAGGCTCCATGTTCTGTATAGGAAATTTGAATGCCCAGAAACAAATTGGCTGAACCCATTTGTTTGAGATCAAACGTGTTCTGTAGCTTTTGTAGTAAGCTATTTATGATGGTGGGGTTGTTTCCTGTGAGGAGGAGATCATCAACGTAGATGAGTAAGTAAAGCTTGTGGTTGTAGACCAACAGTGAAGGGTCAGCACGGCTGAATTTGAAGCCAAATTCAATCAGGAAATATGTTAATTTAATGAACCATTGACGAGGTGCTTGTTTAAGCTCGTAGATTTCTTTGTGCAACTTGCACACATAGTTTGGTTTGTTGATGTCAACGAAACCAGGGGGTTGTTTCATATATACCTCTTCTGTGAGATTATCGTGAAGAAAGGCATTTGCTACGTCAAATTGCAACAAAGGCCATTGGTGTTGTATAGCAATGATCAGAAGAATGCGGATAGTAGGCATTTTAGCCACCGGGCTAAATGTGTCTTTATAGTTGACACCATATTGTTGAGTATAACCTTGAGCAACTAATCGAGCCTTGTATCGATCAATCGTCCCGTCGGGAAGAGTTTTGATTTTGTATAGCCACTTACAGCCTATGATTGACGCATGTGCAGGAGGTAAAGTGAGTGACCAAGTATTCTGCCTGTGGAGCGCTTCAAATTCCTCCGACATAGCCTGTCTCCATTGAGGAAGTTGGGAGGCTGCACGATATGTGGTTGGAGTAGTAGACACATCTGAGACAGCAAGGAGATCAAAGAATTATTTGGGTTTGGAATGTCCTGTTCTGGACCTGGTTTCCATGTGATGTAAAGACGGTGGAATGGGTTTAATAGGCAAATGTGAGGGAATTGAGACAGCGGAAGGCAAGATTATATGAGGCTCATTGGATGAGGGAAATTTTGTGGAGGTAGTATTGTTGGGTTGATTTGATATTCAGTAGACGTGGAGAGTGGTGGAACAGAGGCTGGCGTGAGAAGTAGTGGTGGTATATATGTGTTCGGAGGAGGAGAGGGAAGGGTGAGAGGTGTGTCTGGATAAGGTTGTTATTGTTCAAGGAACTTGACATGGCGAGAGATATAGAGTTTGTTGCTGGGAAGATGAAAACATCGATATCCTTTATGATGAGGTGAGTAACCAAGAAATATGCATGAAAGTGACCTTGGAGCTAATTTGTGTGAAGATTGAGGTCGAAGCCAGGGGAAGCACAAACAGCCAAAGGATTTCAGATGATCATACTTAGGATTCTGACCGTGGAGAAGTGTGAAAGGAATTTGAAAATTGAGAGCAGAGGTTGGGAGACGATTAATGAGATAGTTAGACGTTTGAAGGGCTTCAGCCCAGAAGCGAAAAGGAAGATGAGCGGCATGGAGAAGAGTGCGAGTGGTCTCTAACAGGTCTGTGTTTCCTTTCAGATACACCATTCTGTTGAGGGGTGTTGGGGCAACTGAATTCATGGAGTATACCGTGAGTTTGAAGGAATTGTTTGAAATTGTTCCCTGTGTATTCTCCTCCAGCATCGGATCGAAGAGTATGAATGGTAGCATAGAATTGATTTTTAACCATATTAAAGAATTGTTGAAATTTAATAAACGTTTCATTTTTAGTATGCATCAGATAAATCCAGCAGTATCTAGTGGCATCATCAATGAACACAGTGTAGTAACGATATCCATTAAGAGAAGAGATCGGGGAAGGACAGCAAACATCAGAGTGTATTAAACTAAAAGGAGTAGTTACATAGTGTTCATGTTTTGAAAATGGAATTCTATGACTTTTAGCCACATTACAGGAAATGCAAGCAAAAGAAGAAGAGCTATTACGTAATTCTAGAATAAGTTTAGATAAAACTGCCATTGCACGAGGATGTGCATGTCCAAGTCGAGCATGTCAGATAGCAGTAGGAGTGAGAGTTGTATGAAGAGCAGCTTGAGGTGGACTGAAATGCGCTTTGATGGGGTAGATTCCACTGTGATTATGGCCACGGTGGATGGTGGAGTTGTCCCAAAGATCCTTGATGATGAAACCACCGGGATCGAAGGAAATAGAACAGAAATTG